ACTGTACGGGCATCTCAGAAGAGTGTGCTTGTGTGCTCACTCTACACTGACTTTTTGTTGATCCCGACCATACAGTGGCATGCAGGTTGATCGGTATCCAGGTCGTAAACGTCCTTCATATGCTCGAACACGCCGTCAAATAGAAAAACATTGCTACTGTAGTAGTTACAGTAGATAGTAAAGTTCGGCAAGAATGGACGCTACCGGACTTGCTGCCTCCCCGAAGCAAACACACTCTGCAAAGGCTACGAACAGGAAACCAACTACCAGACTGATGTCGGCCAAGTTATAACAGCAGAGTGGAGGGATGAAAACGGATGCGGGCAGATTGGTACAGAACTGTTCCAGGATTAATGTGCATTCACCTAGCCAATCATAACCCTGATCACCAGCTGGGACCAGCAACAGAAACATGCGCTCGTGAACGGCGTGGATAGTCAGCAGACGGTAGCCAGCTGCCTGTTCGTGACCTTTGCGACCCATACGACGCTTGTCTGCCTCGGGAAGCCAAAAGATCGGTGTGTGCCTACTCTTGCCTGAATAAATACCGGGTGCGCGGTGACAGAGAATGACTGTGGCGAAGCATTGATGAACTCCGGTTCGATGGAGTGCTTATGACCTATCAATTATATCCGTTACTGCTAAGTTGCAGCTAATGAGGGTGGACCTCGGTCGAGAAGGCATCTAGAGGGATATCGTCCTCAACTCGGCACGACTTATCAGTCAGCGATGTGTTTTTTCCTGACCAACTGCAGTCTGTTGTTAGAACTATTATCAGAAAAAGGGCCTATAAAACACCTGCTACCAACGGACATTACTGAGACATGTAGGTCATATCTCCTGCCCAAACTCTTCACGGAAGTTACGTACACTTCGACTGGTTTTTTGACTGATCTCGCGGCAATTTCAGAGGTTTTGACAAAATGCAAAGAAGGTCGCTTGGTCAATTTTATCTCTGTCTTGAACGTTTGGTGGGATGTTCGGCTCCGGGAACCAAAAGCTGCCTACTCGGCTAAAAGCTTTCAAGACAACTGCGATTGGCCCGATACCTCCGAAATGGAACTAGAGGCGTCAACTGTCTTCGAGCCTATGTCGGACACAGCAAACTGCATTTCTGCGAGTATGCGCACCAGCAACTCGAAGTAACTAGGGCAGTCTATATCCGTAACACGCAAGCTGGGGCGTACTGAAGTACCCTGCGGTCGATTACCGGGCTGACATACTGAGTTAAAGAGTTGTTCTTGGGACGGCTCCTTAAAGAAGCCGTATGTTGCCACAGCGATCAAACCAACGTGCACTTAGTCCCCATCAAATGCATGACCGAAGATAGCGGACATGGCCCATATGATCTACTTTCCGAATCAACTGAACGGAAGAAGTGTTACAAAGTTGAAAATCCTGTGGGATTACAGGGTCAGTGTCAGAGGGTGAAGGTAATTACTAACTTGTACTTGATATGGCTGAGATCCTGCCTGATCTACTCGGCCTCTATGATGTCCCGAACTGTACCTCTCCACGCATGACGACCTGCGGCAGCAAATCTGGACAGTTAAACCCATTCTCTTCGCCAACGACTGAGATCGAATACCGAAGGTCCAAGAACCACCTCTATGTCTTGACGAACTGTGTCGAGCCAGGCTTTGAGTTGATCCCTTCTTCGGTGCCTCCAATAGGGTAACGGTGCCGGATCGGGCGCAGTAACATTGAGCTCCTGAAGTGGACGACGAGCGTGCCGAAACCACCTCAATCGTCTTTCTTGGATGGCCGGAGTTATCCTTGCGATGTTGTCACAGCGAGCGCGGACCGTCTCATTTGAGATGAAGTGGTTGTTCTTCACTCGAAGGATGGTCCTCAAACAGTGGTGGTCAAATACCGCCAGTTTTCGTTTAGAGCCCTCAGGAGAACCCAGTAAACAGCGTAGTTGAGCACAATGGGCGACAGGATACAAGCCCGTCGAACTCCAAACCGAATAGCAAATGGTTGGGAAAAATTTTTGCAGACCAGGACTCGCGGAGTGGTGGAACGATAACAGGCCTTGATAATGGCGATACGCCATTTGCCGCCGCATGGACTCACGATGGACAGAATCGGACGCGGCGGCAGCCAACAAAGCAGACGGCTATCGGTTGCTGGCAGCTGTGGCGAAATTCGAGAATGCGCCTCAGTGTGGATACCTGGTTCGCGCATCCACGTCCAGCACGAGATTCGGCTTGGCTGGGCCTCGTGCTAGTCACGCACAACTTGGAACCGCCTGTGTAGGACAATGGCGAAGATCTTCGCAGCAACGTCGATGAGGCTTATGCCGCGATAATTCTCGCATCTTGTCCTATCTCCCTTTTCGAGGATAGGTACAAGGATGCCTCTGCTCGGGTCTCCGCAGTGCTGGTTTGCCAGACTTTTGTGAAACCGGGGAGTCTACGATGTGGCACTTTTGGCGCGAATGAGAGGTGAATTTTAAAGCGTGTACGAACGAGGACATGGTCCGACCCATGGGCGTTACCAGTCTCGGCAACACACATCGACCTGTCATCGTGAACACAGCTGCGGAACCTTGAGCTATTTACTATGTTGCCATTCTGACTGGTCGTATGACCGTCGTTTGAATACCATGTCAGCAGATGTTTTTAGCGATGCTGGAAACACGTTTTGGTGACAAGTAGTCGGTAGACTTCAAATTTAGCGTTTGTAAAGTTCATCGAAGCGGTAGTGAAAAAAGAGCACTCGGTATGCTGCTCACAGTTTCCCATACTTGTGTCTGCCGAGGGGTCAACAAATCATCAGGTGATCCACTTCGGCTTTCATAGGGTAAAACCCGCTGGACAGTTTTATGCGGCCTAGTGTCGGCCCGCGTGCAGCCACTGAGATAATTAAAACAACACGTCCACCTGGCCGCTGGCTGTCTGACAGCATTACCTATGATAACGTTCATCCAAACGCTAGATCTCGGTTTAAACCCCACATCCTTAGTGATCTCAAGGGTCGGAGAACAAGGACAGAGACCTCAACTACACTTTCTAAAGGGTTTGAAGGCAACTTCATAGGAAATCACTTCGATAGGGTTCGAAAGTCTAATTTAGGTTTTGGGAAGCGATGGCTGTCTGAAGTTGAAGCGGTGGGGTCCAGGAGTTTCTGCGGCACGAACGAAAAACATTCCGATGAGGGATTCGCTCGTTGGTGTTGCTAAGTCGACGTGAAATCAACCCCGGTACTAAAAATGTAGTTCGGGCCAAAATCCCCGAAGTAGTGTCCGACTGTACTGGACCAACCGGCTCCCAGGGTTCCGGGTTCTCTACATCATGTAACTCCCAACGTGCATTAATGAAAATCAGCCGTGCGTGACACTGTATTTACCGGACTGGAATTTGATGTTGAAGGCACAAACTTTAAGAGGGCCTAGGGGTATCAGCGATTGCAGCGACGCCCTAGACTTGAAAATAGTAGAACTGCAAACGATGCGAGGTAAACTTCGACCGGTCGAGTAACTTAAGTTTTTGATCCACGGCGATGTAACAGAGACCAAGTCGAAAAAATGAGAAGACGAAAACCTTGAACCCTACTTATGACCACCGACAGTTTTTCGTGCCACAACGCCCTTCGCTCGAATGTGAAAGTGCTTACTCTCACTAATACCAACTAGCGTCATTGGTCCAACCGGCTGCGGAGCCCACAGCATGGGAACTCAATGCAGTCCAAGCACTTAAGCCAACAGTCAGACGGCAATATTCACTCAGTTCGCGTTTTGTTCGCAGACTGAAGACTCGAGGCCTGACTTAGTCCCATTTAGTCATATTCCAAATGTACAATGCGGCGAGAACTCCGATTTGGAAAACGACTAGGGGTGGGGAAAGCCCAAGGAGACCGCGGTCTAGTAGCCGGAGTCGGCCAGTCCCAGAAGGAGGGCCCCTAGTCAACGTGAAATTTCTAGTTTAAAGACAGGGTAAAACATCTGGAACTGAGAGCGGTGTGAGAGCCCCAGGTGCCAAACGCTTCTGTCACGCGCAGTTCTGCAGTGAACATGAACAAGATTTGTAGGTCTCGAGGCCTTAACTGAGTAAGAGCTTGCAGTGAGTGCACTCACACCGGCGCAGATGTTGTCCACAAGCCATGTGACATGTTATATTCTTTACAACTGACACATCAGACGATCAGACGTAGATAAAACAATCGGGTGCCTGCAGCGCCTACAAGCCAGGAGGGTGGACACTATGCGGTTCGTGTCCTCGAGTTGTAATCTACTCAGCGGCTAGCTTTATGCCGGACGTGCGAAAGGATGCCGCATACAAGACTAACGCATTATGCCCGGGAGAGACCGGAAACGTCAGCAGGACGACTGAGATGCTTGCTTGTGAGCATCAGCCCGGATGTGACCAAGGAAGGTTTAGCCCCACGAACAAGTAGGAAGAGATAGTTTACTAGCGATAGATGGCGTGCGCAGATGGAAACGAACACACTTTCCTCCTATAAGAAACGTGCTTGCGACAGTTTCAAACAGATGCACGAGTAGGCCACCGCCCGATTCCCGAGGCGGCGAGACATGCCTGGCAAACCGAAGAAATTGATGAATATCAAACAGATGATAAAATCAAGGGGGTACCACATGTGAGATCAGCTCTATGGAGGCATTTCTTACTGCAAATAAAGTTTGCTTAACTAGGAAAAAGCTGTCGGCAGCTTTACAGTAAAATGACTACGGTCGTAAGTGCTGCAAACTCGGGAAACCAAATCGTGCGTCACGACGCAAAAACAATACCGTAACTGTCATCTGCAATCTAGCAGTTACGTCTCACTGATGGGTTTGACGTTGCACGTACTCGTAGGACACATTGTCTGGGTACCACCGTCACCACCATAGAAACACGTGCATGGGACTGCTGGCTACATGCGAACTGAGCCCTGGCGAACAGGTGAACAGCGCCCCGAGCACAGGGGGTTTTAAGTAGGAAATCAGTACAGCAAAAAAACAGTAAAAATGCAGAAAGCCATGGTACAAATTTATTGCTCTACTTGTTCATCAAGATGCCGTCATATTTGCTCTGGAACCACTTCATGGCTTCCTCCTTAGTGACGTGGTGTTTTGGACCGACTTTGGAGACGCATCTTCGCCTACAAACAACGTAAGAAAGACCTGCTACACTAACCTGTGGGCTACACGCTGGCCCGGACGGCCGAGGATAACATAGAAATCCATGCCATAAATGCCGATATTGGGGTCGTACTTCAGGTTTAAATCGATATGTTCAGTGATACCGAAGCCAAAATGACCCATTTTGCTGAAACAGGATTTTGGCAATTCGTACTCCTTCACTTTCAGACCTCGCTCAAGGATTTCTAACACTATAAAGGGCAGAAAAAGACAAACCTTCGGCCTTCGCTCCACGAACGGTACAGTGGACAGCAATCTTTTCGTTTCTGCGAATGCCGAATGTGCGCACAGTCAGTCTGGCCTTGCTAAAAACAGGTTGCTGTTGCGTCAACTGCTCCAAGACCTTGGCAGCGCGCGTGAGACGATCTCCACTCTCACCAACGCATATATTTAGGCAGAGCTTCTGGATTTTAATCTCCCGCATGGGGTTGTTCTCGGCCTTAGGCTTCCTTGTAATACCCATCCCGAAAAGCAGGCAAAAATCGTGCACTCACCACTATTAAAAAGTGCGGGCGAGCGTCCCGAAGGTACTTTAAACAAATGCCACTAACTCGAAGTCGGTCATTCTAGTCGAGTGCAGTAGAAACTGAAAACTCCAACAGTCTGGATTGGTAGATCCTCCGATTTTAGAGTTTATTTTTTAGAGAATTTGCGAAACAACCAGATTCCACCAAACGCTGGAGTGCCTGGCCGAATCCTAAAAATAGGCATACTACAATAATGCTGGAATTAGGGCATCTGCAACAATGTTTTCTGGCATAACAAAGGGTCATGTAAAATCAAAGGCGGTGGCCGCAGGTAAAGCATCTACGATTGGCCACAGAAAACAAAACTGAACGGCCAACCGTCACAAATTATCACGAACCTAGACAGTTCGGAAATATTCTCAAAAGTGATAAAGGGCGAAACATTCGTTAGCTTGGAGACTCCTAAATAGAGCTAAAATAAAACTGAAAATAGAAAGGGCTTTCTGATTTTTCGAAAAAGAGTCAACGCATACAAAACGTACCAGTATATGGAAAAAAACAACTTTTTTATTCGATGTGTGTGTTTGCATGCTCGCGTTTGAAGACACCTTGGAACGTAGGCCTTGCAAGCAGACGCAGATTTCCTTAGCTTACTTTGATTCCCCACGGAATAAGGACTCTTATTGAACATTACAATAACCAGCGCCCTATCCACAGCATGATGTTTTAATACCATTCGCTAGGTTTGAAATACCACCTAGAAATAAACGTTTAGTTTAGGTAAGTTTATTGTAAGAGGCAAGCCTGCGTCTTCAAGCATCTGTTTGCAACGTAAAATTTGATGCAGTGCACAGAGAAACCATGTGGGCTAAAATAATGCAAAGGGGACCATACAAATCGGACGGTTTGCGCCTGAATCACGAGGTCTGATTTCGGCCTCTCATCGTTCAGGCACATTTGGGAGCATAAATGCATCAGGGTTCCTTTTAAAGCTTTCGGTTGATGTTGGCATCACAATATAATACCTTCCGGGAGGGTATTGCATGGTTGGACCACTCTGGGGAACACTATGGACCTTCGCTCGTCCAGCATACTGAACGCGTTGTTTTAACAATGACCCCTGATTCTGGTCGTGAGAGCAAATTCAAAATAGTCGTCAAATGCCGGCTGCACTCCAATCTCTCCATAATTGAAAATCCTTGTAAGAATCCCCGTGTATATTCCCATAACTGAAAGGAAAGGGATTCGTTCTTGCTAGCCGTGTTACATATAGTCAGGAGTCTTAAACCTAAGCCAGCTTGGTAGCTCTCCTTTGGACTCTTTCTAGAATATTTTGGTATCGGGCTCTCCACGATTACCAGGCTTGGCTGTCGTATCCTAAATGCTACCTCGAAAATGTCTCGAGAATTTTGAAGAAGGGGCTTTCATAAAGGTCGCAAAAGACTCTTTTGATGACGTGCAAGACTGACATTACACCTCTTGCCACTCTCGAACAGTGAGTGGACGATTCGTCTTCAGCACGTGGAGGTCGTTTTTGGAATCCACGTACTATACTGCAGCACCGTTCGGGAAATAGATTCTAGTCAGGTCGCTAGTTTCAAATCCGAAATCAACCGAGCAATGTTGTATAAAACAATTTTCCAAGAGACAGAAGCAATTTAAGAACCTTTTGGCGAAATTTCCGTAGACGGGGATCTATTCGTTTAGAATTATTGGTTATCATTTGCAGGTTGCGATTTGCTAGACTACGCCTGTTGACTGTTTACCGCATATTGCACTTCGAAATTGTCAAGTCAAACTGTCCCCACTGGAGTACATGTCTCATTACTAAACTCCCGCTTAAAGTCGGTCACTAGACCTGCCTAAAACTTTAATCAATTACAACTTAATACTTGAGCAGCATTCAGTGGTAATTATCTACTTTGATCTTAACAAAGCATTTCATAAGGTACCCCATAGACGTCATTTGGTAAAATTGGAAGCCCTCGGCATCCGGCCGCCCCTTCTTGACATCTTCAGGGCCTTTCTATCCGCCGATATCAGAAAGTCGTGGTCGGTAAAAGCTACTCGACACCCCACTCGATCACGGGTGGCGTACTTCAAGGCACGGTTCTGGGTCCGCTACTCTTCCTTCTGTACATCAATGATATTTCGACTGAACTCGGAAATTCACAAACTTTTACTTATGCCGATGACCTCAAGTGTGTTTACTCATATTCTAAGGACATCGCAAACGTATGTGTTCAAAAAATTAATGCTGATTTATTACGCTTAAGCAGATGAGCTTCAACATGGCAGATGGAGTTTTCATCATCCAAGTGTAGTTTCATGTCTTTTGGTCCTGCTAAACTTCCTAGTGCCATACTTTTTCACAATAACCCACTTTCAGAATGCCTCACCATATAGGACCTAGGTCTAAGTTATACAAATAAGCTTGCCTTATCACCCCATGCGGATAGAATCTCTGTCAAAGCCGCGCAGATATGTGGATTCATATCGCATCATTTTTTCCTTCCGGAAAGTAAGTTAAGACTTTATCAAATGTTTGTTCTTCCAGTCCTCGAATACTGCTGTCTTTTCTTTGGTTTAATGAACGCCTGTAACTGTAATAAGATCGAAAATGTTCAGGGAGTTTTCACCCGGAAATTGTTCTCTCAAGCTTCGTCCAGTATTTCTTATACTCAGAGATGTCAGCTGGCAAATATCAAGTTTTTGTGGGTTAGGAGACTCGAAGCTGGCCTTTGCTTCCTTTTTCGCATCAACTCTAGTTCCAGTCTTCCACTCATTGCCACTCTCGCTCCGAGAAGTCGATCTTATGCCACGCGCAACTCCTGCATGGTGATTCCGCCGCCGCCTCTTTACACTACGTATAAGCGCTCCCTCTTCTTTGCTTCCAAATATGCTTTCCTTTGGAATAATCTTCCGCCTGAAATTAGATTATCGCCTAAGTTACTGGTATTCAAGTCGAAATTACGCAATCATCTTACACCGGAAAGCATAAAGGCACTGTTAACGGTCTCATTCCCGAACACTCAGATTCCTGACTTCGAGAAGGGTCCTCCTGGGATTTAGTGGTAGATCAAGTGGTAACTCTTAACTATATCATTAGAAACCCTGTTTTTAATTGGTTTCTAAATCCATCGCTATCCTTCCCCCCATAGCGACAATTTTCGCGGTTTTTGATGTCATCTCCCACATTCCGACCTAATGCGGTCTGTCCACGCTCACGGCGGAACCCTCAGTATTCACTGTCTACTAGTAGTTTGGTCGTACCTCCATTCCCCACTCCCCGGCTGGGTTCGAAGCTTACTGTGGCCGATCGCATCTGGGTTCCTCTCGTCTGGCCTCTTTGACGCGAATAGTCTCATCCGGCGTATCAATCCAGCTCAGACGATGTCAGTTCTGAATCCCGTATACATTATCACATGCAGGCCAGTCCTGTCCGATCCGCATACGTATCCTTCAAGGCTGACATTTATTTCTGTCCCGGCGAGTACCGATCTTAATCCGTTATCTACCGCCACATGCAGGCCCGTCCTGCCCGCATTCTTCTGTTGTTATTATTATTGTTATTATTATTATTATTATATGCAAGGGTTTTTTCTCCTGTTAAATTAATCCAGTCATTTGTAAATTCCTAAGTGACCTTTTTCCACTGTTCGTTAGTTATTTTTCTTAACGCACTACAAATTCAGGAACTTTAAATTGGAATTTATACAGATTCTGCCTACCTCGTCTAAAATTCATATGTAAATTTATTTTTGCCTGCTGGCAGTTTAGTTGCCTATAAGAGAGAGAGAGAATAGGCCAAATTTATCCTAATACGACAAACATTTTAGACCATCGACCATCTTTGTTGCATTGCGCTGCACCTGTCCGGGTAAGTCAATAGACTTCCTCATCCATGGTGAAGCTGCTGACATTCCATATTCCAGATGGGGTCTTACAAAGACGCCAAAAAGTCTTTTGAAGTGTTCGGGATGGGACGTCTGATCCAATGCGAAGTGCTAGTTGCCTTCTGGACTATCTTTCTACACTTTTGTGATAGCATTAGGCATGTGATCTTGCATGCACACAGATCTCTGTGTCTTTCTACAGTTTGTAAAGCTGCTCCGTTAATATAGTTCTGGTGTTTAAGAGAGACATGTCGGCCGGTGTCTAAACGCGAGACCGCGCATTTGAACATGTTAAACTACAAAAGCAATCTGTTAGACCAAGCACATTGTTTGTTGATGTCTGACTGCAACCTCGTTGCGTCATCATCGCACGTGATTTCACTCCATATTTGTATACAATCCGCGAACATGAGGGCCTCGCAGTCCAGTTCGATGATGCAGTCATTAACATAAATCAGGAAAAGTACTGGGCTTAAAACAGAACCCTGTAGGATACCACTTTCTACCTTTGTTAATTCCGAGGCGAAGTTACCAACGACGGCTCTCTGTACTCTGGAGGACAGAAAATTCCTGATCCATTTTAACATTCTTCCTAATATTCCTACATCCTAGCTCTTCTGTAAAAGAAGCCTATGTGGAACACTGTCAAAGGTCTTCTTGAAGTCAAAAAATATGATATCCACTGGATAACCCCTATTGGTAGCTCTTGCCCATTTCTCGTGCAAGTAAAGAACACTCGTTAGGCAAGAGCGCCTTAGACAAAAGCCATGTTAGGCATTACACAAAATTTTGTTTTTTTTCCCAGGTACCGCATCAAATGTCCTTTACTAATGCGCTCCATTATTTTACACGCGATGCCGGTAACACTGGCGGGAGGATAATTTCCACAGTCAAGTCCTGGGCCTCCTTTATGGATCGGAGTGATGAGTGCGCACTTCTGTTCGCCCGAGAGCTCGCCTTCTTCAAAGGACTTTTGAAATATTGCAGATAATGGTTCGCACAGTTTATTGGCAAGTTCACGAAGTGCTAATGTGGCAGGGTTCAGCCGGAGTAGTTTGACCCTAACTATGGCCGATGAAAAGAGTGATACCCCGACTATGGAGTGTAGGGAGGGTGTGAGAGGAGGGATGGAGCTAGGAGGAGGTTGGTTGTCGAACGGATGGATAGGCAAATATAGAACTAGGTTCTCGCGTGAAGACGGACTGAAAGAATTTAAAAAAGAGAGACGCTTTAATCTGATCATCTCTCTTTTTTTCAATCTGCAGACCTAAGGGCAGAGGTAAGCCCCTGGGTCATTTTAGCACTCCCTATATGGCCATTTAGAATTTTCGGATGCTAGAAAGGATGTTGCAGCGTGTTCAGACCGAACTTCTTTCGCACCTTGGAAGCCTCACTTTTAGAAACGTTGCGTTGTTGCTTATATTCCCACAAATGTTCTTCGAGCCGGTTAGTCTGTAACGCCTCCACAGGCGATTCATTTTTTGAAAGAGGCCATTAAATCCGAATGTATTCACATTAGGTGGTTTGTAATTGTCCTTCTTCTGAGAGGACGACTGGGATAAGCAATCACTTTCAGAAAGGAACTGAAAGTATTCCAATTATCGTTTGATGAGTGCGCAGGACAGAGAATTATTTGATGATATAATTTGAGCTGCGGGGTACGTAGACGGGCTGGGCTGTAAAGGCTTGGCAGATCTATGAGAAGGCGGTGTACTCCTAAATTAAACTGTTCTACCTTACTTTTGGATCGGAGTTTGATTCAGTTTTGGAGTCTCCCATATCTGACGCCAAGCCACAGTTGACCTAGTTGTAGAGCTTGCAGCATCCTGTTAAACTGGGGAAATTATCGGTCTAGCTGATGTAGGCGGATTTTCATGCGTCCCACGAGGGCTATCCGGAGGATAGGAAACGACAACTAGGGCTGCTGCTTCTGCTACTTTAAGGGCAGGCGCGTGCGTCAAGTGACCTGAGCGAGAGCGAGATATGGGACTAAGGGGAAGGAGGGAGTCAGATGTCGCAGGAGTAGGACCAGATGAATCCTCACGGCCACTCGTATTATGACCGAGTTGCTGAGCATTAGACTGTGAATCAGTGGGTTTACGTGAGAAAAGGGACCCAATTCTACAACAACGAAAAAATTTTGCATTTTCCAAGTACGCACAGACACGATCTCGACGGGCAAAGATTGTGTCAACCTCGATCGATACAAATAATTTAACTGGGATGGGCGGTTTTTTGCTATGGGAGGACAAACGTTTCACAGCGGCTATTTTGTAGTTGAAACCACACGAATACAGGAAATTGGTTGCAACCTCATCTGGCCGAGCCGATCGAGGAACATTTTCCAAAAAAATGTTGTAAGCACGTTTATGTCTATCACTAGATTCACTGGCGACCAGGTGAACATGTGAGTGAAGACGTTTGCATTTTCGAGAGGGAATATCGGAGATGTTCCCGTCGAATAATTTACCAGGAATTGAGAGCAGAGTGACAAACCTTGGTATACAATTATTGTAGTTGTAAAGTGCAGTCAGATTAAGATGCCTATCAGTTACATCGGGTGAGGACTGACTAGTAATACCTTTTGACTGCGATTTAGGTAAGCCTTCTTACTTAGATTTAGATTAGCCATGCTTAAGTAGAGACGCCGAGAGCTTATGCCGACCTGTAACTTTTGCTCTCATCTTGTCTCGAGGCAAGTTGTGAGTAAGGATACTTCTGGCAGACAAGGTGACTGAATTTTAGCTAGATGCTAACGATGTGACAATAAGTTACACAGTTAGTGAGAAATCGAATGCAAAATATGCGAATTGCCGAGTACGATTGGTGGTAACAGGCACAGACTAGCAGAACTCATAAAGGAAGTGGAAACCGGTAGTTCTGAGTGAATAGGCCTTTATTTAAGGAAATGTAACCAAAAACAGGACCTAAAATTGTTAGGTCTCTCGGAAAAACCACTTAAAATAATGTCTTCCACTTATCTTCGAAGTTAGAACCAGCGGCTTGACCTTGACCTCGTAAAAGATTTGTGAGGGCTGAAAGGGGTTGCTATACGCATCACCCTCCTCACCCGAACGAGGAATAGGAAAGAGTCAGATGATACGAGATATGTACGTTAAAAACGGGGATTTGGGTTCATGGAAAGGTTACAAGTGATACAAGAGCAGATGAAGGTTTCAACAGGAGAAGTGGCCCGTTTGATGGAGGGGTGACGCCAACACGCCAGCTAGACAATTATTAAACACTGCAGCGCTATCGGAAACCGCAGAGTGGGGCCGGGGAATGTGCCGGCGTGGAGCGGCACAAGGGCTATCGTAACCGCGGTATTTGCGATAAGAGGGCCGGAAGGGATGTGGGGACAAGACACTGATTATTTTGTCCGACACGCTGTCACATCGGCTCCATCCTGTATCTGCGCTAAAAACAACCCTACCAAATCCCTGGTCCGCTACGCAGCCTCCTCCGGAGGGACAACACTGTCCTCAATGCTGCTAAAGTTGGCGCTCGGAAGGGGTGAGGTGGGTTCTCCGCTCCATCCCACCGCTGTCACCAATGCAGCGACCGAAGGTGTTGAGGACAGCACACATGGGGTAGTGGAAAGCACGGAAGGTAATTCCTGACCAACACCGGACTGAAAAGGATTGTCAAGTCAGTTTAAGTTAGTTTATTTAAGGAATGACGTTCTTGTCCTTGATTTCTTTCTCATAACCAAAAACATCAATAGAATCAATTGTTACGGCAGTACTTCTGGAAATATAAAGGCTATCGGTATGCGTGGGTCAGGTGCGACCTAACGCTACTGGTACAATCGTAAATTTATATACAGTTTTGTCTCTGCAAATGAGTGCCTAGTCTACACTTAAAGGATTCAGTAGTTTTGGAAAGGACCACCGCGTCATGGAATTCATTCCATGCTCCAACGACCCTCCAAGAGAAGGCGTTCTGTCGAACGTCCGTATAGACCGACGTTTTCCGTGGTTTAAATGGATGACCACACAGGCAGTCCGTCCCAGCCAATTCAAAGAAGATGTCAAAGTCTAGGGCATACTCGCGACCTTTGAATGCGGTAAGTTTGAATGAGGTCGACATGCAGTTGCCTGTAATTGAGAAGAAACAGCTGCAGTTCAGCAATCTAGTGTTTTTGGGCCGAAGGGGCTTAATTAACCTGTAGGATAGTATGTCACAGAAGGAAATGGCCCATTAACCCCTATCGGTCAGCAACATCCCAACTCCAGATGATGTAGCAGCCGAGAATTAAATCGGGGTCCAATGTGTCATTTTGCACTTAAGTAAAAGATTTTTATTGTAAAGGAAGCCTATACTAGCTGCTGAGAAGAAGCGAAACAGAATACTGCATATGCTGTAAATGAAGGTCATTACCTAGCAGTGCAAAACATTGAACTGAACTTTTAGCTTTAACCGTAACAGCAAATAAATAGATAAATTGTTTTATTTAGCTCCTACGCAGGTGCTTCTCATGGCAACATTTAAAACACAAACATAATCGTCGGCATGTGAAAGTAGAGGCAAGAAGTGCAGTGCGGCAGTTTTTGTTTATTTTTTCATAAATGTGTGCGACGATGTAGTTGCCCCCTGATCTTCCGAACAACGCTATTTAACCATTTTAACCGCCAGGACTTTTTGCCTATTCTACAGGGCTAGGTATTGGTTGGTAAGGTGTGGTGCAGGACTAAAATTAATGACTTCCCTATGCATCATATGGCCCTCGACTTATGCTGTGGTAGAACATGTTACGAAATGCCCCATGGCTTGCTTCGGCAAAAAACACACACCACTGACTAGCTGTCAATAGAAAGTTCTGATTACTTATCAGATTTCGTGGCGGAAAGTGGGCAGTTCGTTTGCGCAGTCATTGACGTATACGAGGAACAGTGTAGGGCCAATAACTGAGCCTTGGGGAACACCACTCCTAACGGCAACCTCGGCAGATTGCTGGTCACTGACGTGGACGGCTTGAGAGCGGCCGATTAAAAAGCTCCGAATCCACATCAGCGCTTTTTAATCGGGTGCTCTCAAGCCGTCCACGTCAGTGACCAGCAATCTGCCGAGGTTGCCATTAGGAGTGGTGTTCCCCAAGGCTCTGTTCTTGTCCCTACACTGTTCCTCGTATACGTCAATGACTGCACAAACGAACTGAACTGCGATGTCGTAATGTTTGCCGATGACATAAAGATCTGGAGTACCATAAGAAGCGAAGTTGACGAGGCGCGACTGCATACAAATCTGGACCACCTTGAGCAATGGTCGAAAGAGTGGCTTCTAACGTTCAACGTAAACAAGTGTAATTTCCTACGCGTCGGCAGAACCAGTTCTTCTAACCACACAGTCCACCGTCTGACTGGCAAACCACTGCAAGAAGTCGACGCCCAGAAGGACTTGGGTGTATGGATCACAACCTCGCTTAAGCCTTCGCTGCAATGTTCAAAGGTGGCCAAGTCGGCGATGTCCATTCTATACCTCGTCAAACGGGCATTCTCCTACTTTGATGAAGACTGCTTCGCCAAGGTTTTTCAAACCTTCGTGAGACCGCATCTGAAGTTTGCTATCCGAGCATGGAGACATTGGACCGCTAAAGACTTCGGCATATTTTGAAAAGTTCAACGGCGAGCAACGAAACTTGTATCTGGGCAGTGATCACTACCCTACGAAACACGATTAGCTAATCTTGACCTCTTTCCTTTGAGTTACAGACAGCTACGTGGGGACCTGATACAAGTTTTCCGCATCTTGCGCAATCAGGGCTGCTGCCTCGCACCAGGAGACTTCTTCGATTTGGCGACCACGACTAACCGGAGAAGCCATCCACTCAAACTGCGTGTGGCTGGTGCCCGGCTAGACACACGAAAGTTCTTCTTCGCCAACAGAGTGGTTGCAGCTTGGAATGCCTTGCCTGAGAATGTTGTTATGTCGGGATCCGTAGATACTTTTAAACGGAGGCTAGATCACTATTGGAGCGCCAACCACAATAACGGCGGTCTACCGCCACCTTGATAGCCAACATAGACAAATTAGTGTTACGAAGATGCTACTACCAACATTTAAGTAACATATGTTTATGTAATTTACTAGTTTTGTCTACGTCGCACACCCCTGCTCGCATTCACCACGATGCCTGTAGACTAAACAATTTTACTTCTTTTCCCGTATCTTAAGTGTGCTTCAACTGTCCGCTGTATTTAATCAGCAAAGCAAGTTAATGTGCCTCTAAATTCTGTTAACGCATGACATTCTGTGTTCATCTGTACAGTTTTTGCTATTCCCCTCGCACTTCTTTCATGTTACTTCCTTTCCATTTCCTCCATATATATCCTCTGCATGTAACCAATAGGGATTTCAAAGGTACACAGCTATTTTCCCTGAAATATACTGATACTGATACTGAATAATTCTTTGGTTTTATTCTGACTGGTATGACGGCCAGGGAAATTTATCGGTTAGATATGCTTATGTAGCCTTACCTGAAGTAAACAAATTCCTACCACCTGTAATACGGGGCCGGCGGTAATAGGAGATTTTACAAGTGGGGCCGGGGAACGCACAGGCGACGAGGTCAAGTAACTGCATGTAGGAGGAAAGCTATCGGGAATGCGCGGTTGTACTTTGAATGGTTGATAAATAGTTGCCCTAACCCCGACCCCTAACCCTAAACCTAAACCCCTAACTCCAACCCCAGCAGTATTGTGCCCATTATGTGAAACTGCATAACCACATCTTACCGATTTACCAATTATCTATTGCTGGATTTCATAGTCCAAACGTTAACTATATTCACGATGTAAGGTAAAAGACTAGCAACCGAACATTTTATTGTGGTATTTCTATTTGCCGAAGGTAGGGTAGAATTAAAGTAGCCTCGAAGTATAAAAAGACTGAAAGGATGCTAATGAATTTATCCCGAATTAGTTGGGCACCAGTTTTTGAACTTCAGAAACCTACAACTTAGGCGTGAAGCCTTTCAATAAGTGAATAAACGCATCGGCTTGTATCGTGCATCAAACTGGAGGAGAGGTAGATGATGATGATGATGATGATGATGATGATGATGATGATGATGAGGAAGAAGAAGGAGAAGAAGAAGAAGAAGAAGAAGAAGAAGAAGAAGAAGAAGAAGAAGAAGAAGAAGAAGAAGAAGAAGAAGAAGAGGAAGAATACATGCTTCTTTGGCCGGGCGGCATGAATTCTACCTCTAAATTGATGAGTAAATCGCAAAAGTGAAATCTGAAAGTAAGTAGACGACCACAGCAGCCCCTTAACCGCCCAAGAGGCTGAAGGATACGCAAGAAACACGATCCCTCTTCAGGCACAGCGGATTAGGGAAAATCCTGTCGTTCGCAAAGACAGTGTTTGTTCTTTTGTCGTCTCTGAGACCGCCGTACGACTCTTTTCGCTCTGATTATGTAAAGACAGTTTGCAAAGCGACAAATTTTTAGCGAGTGTGAAACATTTCATGCAACCGGCATTTCTTAATTAACAAAAGGGGGCCATTAGGATTTTGTCTTTGGGGCTTCTGGTAGGTGCTATAAATCGAGCTAAGCATACAAAATGGTCCAAGCAGACTGTGTTGCCTTTTGTATACACAAGTAAAAAAGGTTCTCCGAGTACGTGAGGAAGGGAAGCATTCATTAGAACACAAATTTTGCCTGTATGACGTTCCGGATTCAAACTGGACTCCGTCAGTAACAGATAAAAGCAATAGGCGTAAAAGGGGGTTTTAGTATTTATAGGATGCAATTGCTATACAACCATATACCTATCAAAAATAACGTTGCTCATCCGCGTCGGACCTACGGAACTCGGCTAAAATTTCAAAATCAATGAGGTTGGACTTCTCGCGAGAGGTGACAACCTCGTGAGCCTCGAGCAGCTTGAATCGCGATTATCTGAACTCCGGCCAATCAATATGTGTAATCAATTGCGCCTCCATATTCGGTGCTGTGGCTTTGACTGGGCTGAGTAATTGCACAGGCGGGAACTCGCGGACGAACAGCGCGTCCCGTGGCACTAATGAAAAACAAACTTTCTAAATGATCGTCGCGCCAATGGGTAACATCAGAGCTTCTATTTGACCCGAATGCAGGCGATTAAGCAACCATTGTAAGAAAACACGACCATGTGCGATAGATGGAGGAGCTGCTAACTTTAGTAGGTAGGAAGTTGCAAATTCTGCAACCCCTATGACCCAGGGCCCTTATCTGCTGCCTTCTCTGATGATGGGTTAGGGTGAGAATCACAAAGGTCAGCAAACAAGAATTTCCGACCCTGCGATCATATCACATTAATCTGAAATGTGTATGCGCTGGTACATCGTAAACTGACGAAAAGGACGTGCTAAGGATGGTTTTCCCGCCTTAAAAACGAGGGGTTTATCCCACAAGGCCAGTCATGAAAGGGATGATAAAAAGACTCAACCCAACCAAATGCACCTTCCCCATACCATCCATAAATTCACTTTCCGGGAATCGAACTCACTTTCCCAACGCAAGTTGGTAGATAAATGTCATTGGTAGACATTCTCGTTTATCAAAAGACCCGTAGATCATTGCATATATTGACCTATCGCAAATACAATAATTATTCTTATTGCCTCATGCGTGCCCCTAATAAATGTCTACTGAGTCAAGCTAAAACCCACTGATTCGGCAAGCAATAAGCCCATTTTCAAAGTATTCTGCAAAAATGGCTACCTTCCTGGCTTTGCAATCAGTCGGTGAGTCATAAAGAGTTCAAAGAAAAAGATATTTCCGACACAGGACAGCTTAGACTCGAAAATCAATCTGAAGCCACAGGTGAGGAACGATGCTGGACTCCTCGAAAGACAATTCCAGAACACCAGATACAAGTTGGGCACAAACCGATACTTTAACCGTCGTCGCCGACGACATCCGCCGTGTACTCCACAGTGCCGTTAGGACAGAGACGGTGACTTGGGCATGAGTTAGATTGTGATAGTAAACTTACACTGCATCTACCACACTCTCCTCTCCTCCGCCACCTGGACTCGGGGTCAGAACAGAGTCAGGAAGACCGAAGGGGAGAGAGATCACAGGTAGCCGGCGCGTCGAAAACCCGCACCTAGAGGTCCCACCGCAATACCCGGTCTACAACGTAGACTGAACAGGACTTACGTACCAGGAAAAGAGGCGGGCATCCCGGATTTCAGTTGGCACGGCGCGCGCCTGCAATTAAGCCTGCCAATAACCCCAAAATGTTGGAATTTGTTGTGGGCGCGCATTTCCGATAATGCCTGACAGACTCTGATCTAGCCCAAGGGTTGATCCAGCGCATCTACAGAAGGTGGGCTAAGTCATGAAATGTCAACCGAAATTCCCAAATGCGTTTTCGTTTCGAAAAGATTAAGTAAGTAGGGTTGTAAAACTAATCAGCCTGCAACATAGTTCTATAATATTTCAGTTACCTCAGGACGTCGGCTTTCAAACGAACTTCCTTCCGGCTGCATGCAAAAAAACCACACTCTATATAAAACGACTACGTGAGTAGCATTAATTTGTCTCATTGATTTTCGATGCCCCTGAATGTCCAATCATATTTCATAAAAACATGCATAAAAACATTCATTCTTTTACTCATTCGGTAGATAACTGCGTCTTTTTCTAATTGTATTTTCGAAGGAGGGACATAATTCGATTTTAAAAAAGTTTCTTATGATCCTTACATGGTCCTCCTTTAGTACCGCAGAAAATATACGCGGAAAATATACGGCTTGTAGTTTCGAAACCCTGAATCCAAGTGTAACGGTAGAGCTGGTTAAAAAATATTCGGGAGTTGAAAAACTTTTTGAAAACCGAATTATACCTTTCCTTCGAGTATACGATTGGATGAAGACGTAATTACCTACCGAATGAGCGAAAGAATGAATATTTTCATGCATGTTTTTAGGAAATATAATTGGACATTTAGGGGCATAGAAAATCAATGAGACAAATTAATGCTACTCACGTAGTCGTTTTATATCGAGTGTGGTTTTTTGCATGCAGCCGGAAGGAAGTTCGTTCGAAAGCCGACGTCCCGAGGTAACTGAAATATTATAGAACTATGTTGCAGGCTGATTAGTTTTACAACCCTACTTAATTAATCTTTTCGAGACGAAAGCGCATTTCAGAATTTCGGTTGACATTTCATGAGTTAGCCCACCTACTGTATCGCACAAACTAGCCACTACTTCACTCATACAGTTCGTACACCCTACAGACAAGGCCGACTATTTCGTTTAAAATGATGTCCGAGTCGAATTTCCATGAATCAGTTATGATGCCGTCTATTGCGGTCAAACTGGGAAATCTGTCCGCGCGCGCATGTATGTACAGCAGCTGTTTGCGTGGAGACGAGGCTATCCACCAGAGGTAACCATGCCCACGCTGGACTCTGGGCATCTCCATGCCTTGGAGAAGGCTCGCATTGTTGGCGCCTGCCCAAAAACGAAGGCTGCGAGCTCTTACAACCGAGGCAATCAGAAGGGGAATACAATAGTCGGCAAATCGACTTAGACGCCGCATGCAAGTCTCCTATTAACACGTGGAGGCAGAGGTGGCAGCAGATGTTATCGGCACAAGGTTCATGTAATCACCGATTTATTTTGTTCGGCCCGGTCAAAAGCTAGCAGGTATTCTACGTCGGCCATAGGTCTGACAAGGAGCTTGGAAGCCAATCTCGAATGTCCTCGTAGTAGAATTCTTTTCGTTCCAGAGAATTCAAGCCATTGTGACTAGATCAGGTGGTGTCCATTTTGCAGTACATCCATATGTATATCGCGATGGCCACTGCGAACATCACAACTGCCTGAGTATTGACGAATGACATGTGAAATAAATTATAATTATGAATACGTCCGCAAAATTGCCTTAACTAAATAAACTCACTTGATTTTTTTTCCGTTGGCGAGAATTAATCAAAACAATGGTAACTAAACCTTGGCGCAGTGGTTAGCTGACCATTTTCCTCAACACGCGCTAACGTGTGTGATTTGCCTTGCCGGTGGAAACTAGTAGGTGAGTCTCAGGGTACAATTCGGAAGATGTAATCGCAGGAACATTTCCCACACGAACTTGATACAGTTTAAGCGGGAATTCAAAACGTCAGGTATCCTTCAGAGACCGCTTCTTCTTCCTCTTCTTCTTCTTGTGAGCGAGTTGCTTTTTCCAGCCGAACAATTTTATTTAGAAGGCCTTTTTACTGTGATATCCTAAAAGAGTCATTTGATGTAGGAGTAGTCGTATTTGTAATTCTAGTCGAAAAGAGGATTTTACGAGGATTAAAAACTTCCCATGCTCCAAATTCCAGATCATCAAGAGAATTTAATAGGCTGAAGGTAGGTAACAGGAATGAGTCACCGCACAGACTGGACGAGAGAGTTGAACGGACAGATTGATGTCACACGCAGACAACAGGAAGTTGCATGTCCAGACTGTCAGCGCGCTGCGCTGCTCCTGCTTCTGGTTCTGGTCTGGCAGCCCCATGGGAGGACGAACTGGCAAAGACTAGCTGCTGCAGAAGATCCCACCATTAGGGGGACGGGGGTCACCAGAGCAGCTTTACAATGCAAAAATATATTACACTCGGAGGCGTGATAAATACACTCGCCCAGACTACTAGACCGGAATGAAACCGGACTGAGTCGGAAGGTTGAGAAATTTTCTGCGTGCCGATTCGAAAACCTCTAAGGCGGCGCTCAAAAAGACTCTCGCTCCCGCAATACGTGAGAAGAGCCTAAAGCCAGGCCCGTTTTTGACAAAAGTTTGTTTATTTCCTTCTCATCCTCCAACATCAGTGCTCGCATGCGTCGTTGTCGAAAGAGCAGAATGGCGGGATTCAGACGGTTCATTTCTTTGGTTGCCGTGGTACAGAGCCCTCTGGCACAGGTAGAAATCGACTCTACCTCTCTTTCCTCAAAAAGTACTGTCTTTGGCACCTCTGCTATGGAAGCTCTGTTGAAATACTCGGGTTTGTAGGTCCAGTGGTTACTCTCCCCGCTGAGAACGTCGCGATACGGCGGGTAAGGGCCCCTCCAACTCTTGTCTGGCCGTTTGGACCATGTCTGATTGCAGGATTTATCCTTCGCCTCCGTTGTCATTCCCTAACTGCGTGGCACGTGAACTTATCGATTTTTTGAAATGCATGTTCGCGCGTTGTTGCTCCTTTTACGTGATTGGACGCATGACGGAAATAACCATCGTTTGTTTACCGGCAATTGTTTGGAA